CCGTGTAGCAATCAAAAAAGCACCATATGCCATCGACTTAAATTGAACAATCTTTTAAATAAACATTGATTCTAGGCAAAAAATTATGTTTCAAATGACATTTTCTTTATTTTGACAAGTTTGTTAAAGTTGGCAATATTCATATTTACAATTATATCATCATTGTTCATATTCCCGTTTGTGTGAAAATACAATCAATATATTTTTTATTTTTATTTATTTAATAATAATTTGTAAAATATTGTACTTAAATAATTTCAGTACAATTTTTTTAATATTATATATTTTTTCTTAATTATTTTGAAAGTTACTTGTGTATTATTGTTTATTGAATATTTATTGAATATTAAGTATTGCAATGATAATACATGTATTTATAATTTTTAAATATTTTACTTTATTTAGAACTATATATGAACTATATATGAAACTTACAAACTTGAAAAAAACAAACAAAACAATAATTTATTAAATTAAGAGTTAATAGAAAAATATACTGGCTGTCAGTAAGGAATAGCAAGAAATTACTTACCATAACAAAGATCAAAATTTTAATTATACTGTTAATTTCAATACTAAAATTATATGAATTTTCGAATATGTCTTATCTTTTAAACATTATAAAATATATAAAACTGAAGCTTGATGAAATATAACACTTTCTAATTTTAACCATGAGAGAAAGAATTTGTTCTCATACTAAATATTAATATAATATAAACAAATTTAAAACAAATTTAAAAACAACAAATTTATTTAATAATTCAAAAATTAGAAAAGCTGAAAGCTACATTTACGTATCTTTCCGCTGTACACTTTGATCTGATTGAAATATTCGATAAAATTGTTGCTCATATATGTATATAGAATGTTCCATAATAAATATGATCAACAAATACAGCATCAATATATCACCGTAATCCTAACAATTGTGCGTAACACCGGGTTGTCTCCCGCACGCATGTACACACGCAGCATATATGCTCATTCATATTTATAAATTAATACTTCAAATTAATACTTTATCTACTGCACAAATCGTTAAATGGTAACTTTTTTGTTTAGTATAACCTGCTTTACTTACAAAAAATAAAGAATAATCTAAAATACAAAAGCTCTGGACCAAATCTCATTTATATTTATACAAGCAACACCATAAAGCCAGAAAGCAAGAAAGCAAATCAAAGTTAAGTATCATAAGATATGTGCAAAAAAGAGTAAATTAATTATTACACACAATTTCTTATTATATTATACTTTTTGCAAAATGTATAATATAATAAATATCCTGTATAAAAGAAGTTCCAGGAAGATCTAGAATGAATTCAAGGATTTTTTGAAAGAGAACTGCAGAGCAATATTTGATTAAAATTATTCCACAAAATTAACTATTTTTTTTTGCGTAGACTTTCTTACAACTTATGACAATAGTATATATCAACGTATCTCTCATATCAACTTCACGAATTCTTCGAATCACTGCACTGATTCTTTTCTGATTTCTTCATTATCAATCAGTCAACGAGCGAGACAAAGAATCCATGAACTGTTGTTCGTATTCGTATATTTCTAATTTAGCATGTTAATAACCCAGAAAATGTCTAAAAAATATTTTAGATGCATATTTAAAAACCCAGATGCATATTTAAAAACATTGTAAAGACATCTTGAAAGAAATATCTTTAAGACTTTACCAAAAGATGTCTAAAAGATATTTTCAGGATTATAATATGGAATTTATATATATATATATATATATATATATATATATATATATATATATATATATATATATATAAGATAATAATTTATTAAGTATAAAATATCTAAAAGTGTTTTTTATTATTAGTTGGACATACTTTTTACACCCAAAAGGATTACAAGAGGATCTGCCATAAAATCTGTAAATCTAATGTTCTTTAATAAATTCTTGATGTTCTTTCATCATCACCCAGCCATAGTGCGCATAAAAGAATCCGCATTAATTATTATGAGAATCGGCATCAGTATCACAATAGTTGTGATGCAAACGATGATTTTGAACCCACTTATATATCGTATTCTAAAAGTAAACAATTATATGTGTGCGAAGGGAGAAGAGGGACTATATATAATATATACATGTGTTGAAATCAACATGTATAATTGTATCGAATATTTAGGTAAAATATAAATATTATTTATGAATTTTCTGCCCAAATTAAAAATAATTCTTTTCAACACATTTAGGACTTTTAGAACTTTTTTGCGTTTATATCTTCTTTTGATAATTAAGCACTTTGAAAATATTTGATTTGTGCAAACTTATCTGATATGTGTCACAACCTGTTTGTATTGCATAAGGAAATTTGTTTTAAAGTTATAAGAAATCATATACTTTTATTTTTTCATAATATAAGAAAATATTTCTCATTTGTATGATTTAAAATTTATGGTAAACACAAAATATTATAAAATTACACATGTAAACATACAGTTTATTTATTATGTTAATATATATATATATATATATATATATACATAAATATT